TATTTTTAATGTGTGTGTGTGTATACATATATATGTGTCTATATATATATATATATACACACACATATATATATGAAATATATATATATTTCCTACTTGATGTTGTTAATCCATACTACTTTAGTTTTTGGCTTAAATCTAATTCAGCTTTGATTCTTTGGGCTCTAATATGTTTTTATTCTAGTTTTTGTTTCTTTGTTTTATTATTGTTTAAAGTATTACATACATCTCCTTTTTCCTGGATTGACACACTCCTCCCCCCTTTGGTTGATCTCTTACCATCACCCCATCAGCTTCCCTCTGAGATTGGATGGTCTGTTCCATGTTTCTTTTGTCTCTGGATCTATTTTTGTTAATCAGTTTATGTTGTTTAAAAAGCTGTCACAGTGCTATTTTTGTGTCCTCTTCTCTCTCAAAAAAGAACTACCTTTTGAGACAACATGGCGGGACCTGGAGAGTATTATGCTAAACAAAATAAGCCAGTCAGAGAAAGTTAAATATCACATGATCTCACCCATGTGTGGGATGCATTGCTCAGGAAAGGATTCGTTTGAACTGTTGAGATATGCCATCTTACATAATGTTAAAACTAATAGAAACACTGAAAGGCATCTAGAATCTTCCCACTACATGATGCTTCAATCCTGCTCAAGATGGTACCAATCAATTGGGTCTTTATTAAAGACACAATTCAAACAAATCCTTTCCTGGACAGTAATATTCCTAGGAATTAACTGAAAAGGAGAGAATGGGGATTATTTTATTTTAGTGTTCTGGGTACTGTAGTGCACAAAGCAGACTCGGAACTAGGGTGTTGTTATTCCTTTCCTACTAACTCTCATATTTTGAAATACTATCTTATTCAGTTAGAATGACATGGTAGATTCTGTCACACACAAAAATGTGTAATAATACCCTGGGTGTACCTGATGGGAAGATATTGACTGTGCACATTTAACCTTGCTTTCCTGCTTCTCTTTATCTACTGAGGTGTCTATGTTCATTAACATTTAGATTCACCACAATGCAATGGTGAACATACAAGCCTACCTGTAGACAGGTTACTTTCCTATAATGCTGCAAAGCTGTATTCTAAATCTAGTGCTGTTTGTTTAGAAATCTGGAGGCTAAGGTCCTGAGGAATTGAAGGAATTCATTTTTCCTTAAATGTGACAACTGGCTAGTGATGAAAGTAAGTTTCTAAGGGAAATGTATTATAGGGCTACTCAATGATGATAAAGTAATAATAATAATTTTAAAAAAGTGGATCCCTCATTTTAAGAAACTAGTGGCTTTGAAGAAACTAGTGGCTTTTCTGCTGGCAAATCTTAAACAGCCAAGATTAAAGACATAAATTTATTTAAAAGCAGTGGGGCAACCCTTTTGTCTCCTTAGGAAGTGCTGTCAAAGACAAGATTTGCATTCTGTATTATTATGTTTATACTAAATTATCATATTTCCTTTTTTCCCACTATTGCTAGATAGTTGAGAGATTATACTTAAAAGACTTTCTTAAATGTCAAGTGTCTGTTGTCCTTGTACTGGAAGGCAGGGGAAAAAATAAAGGCTGAAAAGGCTAAAAGAGTTTACATAGGTAATTTTTCATGACTTATGTAAGAACAGAGGAAAGAAAATGGAAAGAACAAAAATGTATATTGACCAGTTCTTGGTTCACTTTGTATTCATGTATTTTAAAATGAAAAAAGGACCTAAAAATCTATATTTGTGGATTTGATCTTGGACTTAGACAAATTGTAATTTACTTAACACCCTCAATATCTGCTCTTTGTTTTATCCATTTGCCATTTTCTTGGTATCAGCAATAATTTTAAAATACAGCTTTTAAAATTATCAAGATATAATAACTTACATCTCCCTAGAATTGGCTTAAGCACACTTTTTATTTAAGAAACGTATACCAAAGCAAATAGATGCCAATATATATTTTGTCAGTAAAAAAGGAAGAAATAGGAACTAATTTGAGTCCTATATATCATTGTCTTCAAAAGTGCTATTTCCTATCTTATATACTAATGTATATGTCACTGGACAGCATTTTGTACTCTGTTTCTGGTACTATTTGATTTTACTTGAAAGCCCATTTAGCTAAGTCTTTATTAGGGTTTATCTAATGGATTGGTTGTTTATACCTTGCTTTTGCTCCATAGATGATCATGTTAATATTAGCTTGAATAAGAAGGTTAAAAACAATTATTCATGGCAGGAGACTTTAACCCAGGCATATCTACTATTCTTGATTAACAAGAGTCATAAACCAGAGGACATTATGCTTGTCTGTGAGTCAAGTGACTAATAGATAACACTGACTGACTGACTTTGGGTTTTTTAGCCTGATACAAAGTTTTTTACTTGTATTATCTAAGTCACTTTTCAAGTTTTGTTTATTCCATTATTTGGTGAACAGTTTGAGGTTTAGAGTAATCTTGTTCCAGGTCATACTCGTGGCAGATCCAGGATAGGCAGACATTTTGATTAAAATCCATTTTATAAACCGCTATACAACCCTGATTTCTTGGTAAAATCGATCTCAGTTTTTATTTCACACATTAGGAGATTTAGGCTCCGATGATTGAACGGACCAAGATTAACAACTGGTTTCTCAAATTGAATGCTTAGCACCCGCACTTGAAACCAGGGCTCCTGCCTTTCAAGCTCAGTGTGCTCTTCACTAGGGCGACCGCCTTCGCAGTCACAGCCCAGTGGGCGGCGCTGGCCATTCCTGTTTTAGAACATCCAGGGCATAAAGGACTCCTCACTGATGACTCATGCCCACACACTCAGTATTGAAAAAGCAGAACATAATGACCATTTTACCTCCCAAGAATTGAGGAATAAAAGGAATGAGGTTTCTTTTATCTTCTGACATGTACTATATTTTGGTTAATTTCCATTTCCTTTTCTGATACTGTTATATAAAAGTTGTTGGGACCATTGTAGTAAAAAATATATGTATTCATACTAATTTATTTTCAAGAGGTCACTTGAAATTAAGTGTATTTTTCACATATTATTTATGTTAACTCTGCAAACTTCAAGTCATCTAATATTTCTTCTGTAAAAACTGGCTTTTAAGTAAGTTGTGGTAATGAACTTTCTGATAAAGTACTATTTATTAGTCATTGTTTTATTTGATTTTGATCCGTATGCTCTATGAGGTGTTCATTGGACAGAACAAGTAAAGAATATTTATATTAATGGTTTGTCAAACCATTTGTTTCCATGGAAAAATAGATATGCATCCAATATCAAAAGACATGCACATTTTCTTTTTGACAAGTCATCTGATCTGCAAATGCACTGTGGTTATAAGATAAAGTTAAATATGTATATATTTAGGATTAAATTACCATTTTGCTAATATCCCCCTTATCTGACTTAGTAAAAATCAGAAGGAGAAAGAATATAAATAAACATCATGCTCAAGCTGTAAAGGGATTTCATTGCTTTACATATTACTTCAAACTGCATGCATCACTTAAATACAAATATCCTATATAGAGTCAGAAGAAAACATATGTGATAGGATTCCTCAGAAATTATGTGAATGGCCAAGGAACGACTATCTTTTAGCCAGTTTGCTTTAAGCTGTGCTTCTACATCTAAATATCCCTTTGGATGAGGCAGTTGCGCTATGAAATTATTGAGAAATTTGAGATGGAAGTAAGGGGATATAGTTTAGATCAGAGTATAAAGAACAGCCTTTACATGAAAATACCAATACAGAATTAAAAAATAAAAAAAGATGACTTTATATACTTCAAAGAGATAGTAGGAATCATCTAATTTTGTTCCTAATTCTATAAATGAGGAGCTATTGAATATCTGAGACATTTGGTGATGTGTTTTGGGCTAAGGCCAAGAAGGAATAATTTCTTTTTTTAGCCTAAAATAGTCTGCTTTATTCACTCTTTTCTTTTTCTTCTTTAAATAATTCTTTATTGTTGAAAGTATTACGTATGTCTCCCATTTTCCCACTTTGATCCCCTCTCTAGCTAGCCCCAGCCTTCAGCCTGTCCATGGGTTATGCACATACTACCGGTTGTATGCAGACATGGCCTTTGATTGATTACCTCCCACCCACTCATTTTTCCCCGCCCTCCCTCTGAGATTCCGCACTCTGATCCATACTTCCAGAAGTACTTTTTCTAGTAAAGCGTAATGCTTCATCCATATGATTGTCAAAATAAAAACAAAGGAAAATTTTAACAGGACTAAAGTGGTTCTTCTCAAATAATACAATTACTCTTCATATATGATGTAAAATTGAGGATATTAATTTTATATCATATTTTCTCTCTCGAATTTTTTTTTTATGAACAGAAAACTTAGACAAGTATTTTTATTTAAAACAACTGCCAAGCAACCAATTTTCATGAGAAATTAACAGCTGAAATAATGTAGAAGTCAGAATTTTTAGAAGCAAAATATCCTAGATGATTTTTGTCAGATTTTCTGTAATCTACTAATATCAACTAATACGATTCTTATTAAGTATGGAAAACTACACATTTCTTAATGAGCTAGAATAATTTTAATATTTTAAAAATCAATTAAAAATGTTTTAATGAAATGAATGTACTTATAAAGCTACCTTGTTATTTTGATAATGTGGAAAAGAGTGACTATTTGATAGATTATTATTAACTTATTTTAATGGACTCACTAAACTTAGTAAGGTTAACTTGCTCTAATTTACAACTTTTGCTATTACATTGTGTGTATGTATGTGGTAAACTTTTGAGCAAGATATAAGTTCACATTGATATTAAATTGTTGCCTGTCATTTACAGTAATATCAGCCACCAACACTTCCATCTATTATTTCAATTATTAAATAATAATTTCAGTTAAAAAAAACAACTCTAAATAGAGCTTAGTTAACAGATTTTTCCATTATTGTCATGATATAAAACTACAACATACAAAAAAATCCCTAATTCCACAGATTGTAACATTGCTTCTTTGTCTTGTTTTTTTAGAGCTACATCCATGGAAGCAGCCAGGCCCAGTTCGTGGCCGAATCCCACATTATTCTGGTACTGAGTATCCTTTAAAGTACTGATGATTGAAAAAGACAAAACCACGTGCTGTCAAATTAATTCTCTTCTGCTAATAAGTACCGAGACTTAGAAAAGGCATTATATTTTAAATTTTCTATGTGTAATTTTCTGATTTCTATGCTAATTGTTTTCCATTATAATTTTGGCTTTTATTCTGAATCATTAACAGAATCTAATTTTCTATTTTTACTGAGTAATGGATATTAAAGTAGAGCTTTTGCTCTGCCTCGGTTATCTCTGGCTAGGAGTTATTTGTAAAACTTATATGGTTTTTCCCATAGAATCTTAATGGTAGGGAGAGGAGCATCCTATAATGTAAAAAGCAAGATGAAAAACATTATTTTAGTACTGGTCCCCTTAAACATTATGATCAGTCAGAAAAGGGAGATGTAGGACTGTTAGAAATCTCTTTCTGGAACATACCAGACCCGTTGTTTTGAATCAGGTAATTCTGCCCAGCGTGGAGTTTGGAGGGAGAAGGGTCAAGAAGAAGATAGCAGGAAGTTCAAGTACTTAATTTAAGACAATTCTATGAGTGCGGAGTTACCTTTTAGGCAAACAACTGAGCTTTGTGTGAGTCGTGTGATGTTTTAGCTTTGGAAATGAAGCTGGAGGAGAGAGATTATGACTCCATTTCATATTTGTGTCTTCCTAAAGCTCACTGAGCAGCACTGACCCTCTTCCTCGTATCAGTTCTCAACCTTTTTATTCCTCCCCCACGTGACCACACATCCTTGGCGCATACATGGAATTGTGCATATCTGTCCTCCATTTCTTGTTTGCATTTATTTAATTACCCCTATCTTTTATGACTTCAAACTTAAGAAATGACTAAGATGAGTATTTTTATGTGTGTTGTACTTTGCCTCTTAGATTGAACTTGGAAATACCTACATTTTAGTAAACTTTCTCAAATTTTGTGATTTTCATCAATAACTACAGTTTTCGGTGTACCAACATTAATATGATAGTAATCCTTTCTGCATATCAGAAGGGCTTTAAGTGAGAAAATGAAATATTTGCAAACATGTTTATAAGAATATCTCTAAATCTAAAAATGTGGGCAAGGCCATATTTACTCTCACTTTGTCTCTTAAGTGTATGTTTATGAAGTAAAATAGCTTTGTGTTCAAGTACAATGGTAAGAAAAAAACATTTGTTGCAGGTCACTTTTAAACTCTGAAAATATATACACATACATATACATACACACACATTTTTTTCTGCCCTGTTTCAGTTCTTGATGTAGCATTCTAGCAGCATACTTTATTCAAAGAAGCTAGTCTATTAAACACACCAGGAGTACTTCACAAAAGAAATGAAAGCTCTATTATATGCAGGAATCCTCCAAGGTTTCATTTCATGGCTCATTGACATGAAGCTGAGTTTAGGATGCAAAGAAATTTCATAAGCAGTGTGAAGTCTTCCATATAGAGTTTAGCAGGAATACCTAAAAGAATTAGAAGTCCCTGTTCTTTTTATGTTACCAGTAATTATTTATTGCTTTATTTCATAGATATTTATGAAAAAGATCATTTCTTTTAAAATGGTAGACTCACTAAAATTATCAGTAAAAGTTAAAGAAGTCATTATGTAATAATTTGTGATTTTACTTTTATTTGGTAGTCTGGTAATTTTTTAACACTATATTTTTTTTCTTGCAATTTATGTGTGTATATTTTCCCTTATGGGAAAAAAATCTGTAGAGACCATTTCTGCCTTTGGTTTTTTTCCTCCTAAGTTAGTAAGCCAGATGATTAGATGCAATGATACACAAAAGTTTGTTGGAAAAAACCTAAGGAAGAACAGATGGAGTTGTTTGATGTCATAGGTTATATACTTATATTTACTATAAATGTTTTTCTCCCTAATTGTAGTGTTTTATTTTCTCTTATTTAGTTTCTTATTTAGTGAAGAAAAAAGAATAATCCTAAGTAGTCCATGAAAAAGAACTATATAAAAAGTATAAGAAATATTATGGCATTTTAATACATATATGTGAACCAAGAAGAATTTATATAATTCTTTGTTTTCCCAGTAAAAAAATTATTTTTATTTTTCGTTCAGTTATGTTTTAGTACTGGATGCAAATAAGATATTTGCTATTTACAAGAAAGTATACAGATAGAAAAAGAATTATCCTGCAGTGGCCCATGTTAAACTCAGTGCTCAGACGCAGCAAGAAAGTGGAGCACCTGGATGTCCAGGTAGTTCAACTGACTGTTATGTCCATTTTGCTGCAGTAGCCAAAGAAGTTTCCCTGTTAGAGAATAAGTGAGGGAGAATATTCCAGTATGAGGCACTGCAGGTACAGGAACATAACATGAGAAAGAATATTCACAAATTGTGAAGAGGAGATTTGGCTGGGTAATGAAAATGTTTGCATGCCTTGCTAAGAAACTTGACCCTTACCTGAATTCATCAAGCTACAGTCTGTGTGCAGTGGGTACAGGACACATGAGGTATTGTATTGGCTTTACTGCCAGCTAAATGAACTCTGACCTGTCCCATGATTCCCCGTGTCCTTAAAGTCTGAGTTCTGAAGATAGCATAGATAATATAAGTTGGAAGTGTTAATATGAAATACTAGAAATATATAAAAGAGTGATATGCAAATTAATCATCACTTTGCTACACAAAGCCACGCCCACCAGCCAATCACAACACATATGCAAATTAATCCCAACCAAGATGGCTGCAGCCACAGAGGCTTGGGTTCCTCTGGCAACAAGAGAAGCCAAGCTTTCTGCCTGCCCTAGCAGGCCTAGCCTCCACTCCAGGCTACAAAGTTTCTATTGTAGAAAGTAAATATATCCTAGATACCAGGGCCCCTGCTTGGGTCACTAGGGGGCGTGGCTGGCCTGCAAACCATCACAGGCCCCTCACTCAGGCTGCCCAATTTCCCAAGGGAACCCCCACCCTGATCTGGGACACCCTTCTGGGCAAACGAGCTGGCCCCCCATCCGTGCACCAGGTCTCCATCCTATCTAATAAAAGAGTAATATGCAGATTGACCATCACTCCAACACACGATATGGCTGCCCCTATGTGGTCAAAGGCCCCGCCCCTATGTGGACACGAGATGGCCATCACAAGATGGCCAGCAGGGAAGGGCAGTTGTGGGTGATCAGGCCTGCAGGGAAGGGTAGTTGAAGGTGATCAGTCCTGAGGACGGAAGTTGGGGGCAAACAGGCTGGCAGGGGAGCAGTTACACATCAATCAGGCTGGCATGGGAGAGGTTAGGGGGAGATCAGGCTGGCAGGCAGAAGCAGTTAGGGGCAATCAGGAAGGCAGGCAGGCGAGCAGTTGGGAGCCAGCAGTCCTGGATTGTGAGAGGGATCCCAGATTGGAGAGGGTGCAGGCTGGGCTGAGGGACAACACCCCTCACTCCACCCCCATGCACAAATTTCATGCACCGGGCCTCTAGTATATATAATTATAAAGATCATATTTGCTTTTCATTTGAGAAAACATTTGTTTTTCATTTATCATGAAAGAGTCATTGATTCTGATTTATTTTCAATTTGTGATAGAGAAAAATGTTTCTTTTATTTTACTGTGTTATATTGAAGACAAAAACATGGGAGAAAATTAATAATGGATAGCCGAGACCGGTTTGGCTCAATGGATAGAGCGTCGGCTTGGGGACTGAAGGGTCCCGGGTTCGATTCCGGTCAAGGACATGTACCTTGGTTGCGGGCATATCCCCAGTAGGGGGTGTGCAAGAGGCAGCTGATCGATGACTCTCTCTCATTGATGTTTCTAGCTCTCTATCTCTCTCCCTTCCTCTCTGTACAAATCAATAGAATATATTTTAAAAAAAATTAATAATGGATGCAAGTTGAAGATAATTTTACATTTAGATCCCTTTAAGTCTTCTGTAATGTGTTAATATATTTTTTAACATCTGTTCTCATTCATCTTTAAATTGGCAGTGGTGATTCTCTTCCTAGGAGCAGCAGCGAACCTAACATCATGTGCAATTGAGAATGAATTATAATGCAGTACAAATGCATTTGTTATTAGTTCAGTATGATGCCCAGTGCCTTTGGTTATTATATATAATGCTATTTGTGCAAATTATTATATATAATTTGCACAAATAGCATTTTCTAGTTTATGTGGGATGTCAGTGTTTTGACTTTTTAAGGTAATGATTGGCAGGCTCAGTAGAGAAATTGTGCAGTCTACAAGTGGTTGAAGTACCTTATATATTAACTACGATATTAATACAAATGTGCAAAGTAATACCTGGACTAGATTGTGTGTGTATGCATTAATCTCAGAACAATAGAACAAGTCTCAGAAACATTACAGTTTATCCACTATATACTGACATCTCATATAATCTTTTAATGTTGTGCCAGTTTGGCTGCAGCCATAATTGTAATGGCAGAAAAGCATGTGTTATCCAAGAGTTAGGCATAGAATAGCTCCCAGATTTCTAGGGGCCATTCCTTAATTATTCAGCCTTCCACCAGCGAAGGGAGCTCTACACATCAACTCTGACAAATGAGCATCTAGGTTTTTCCTCTGTTTAAAAATTAATCCTTCATCTATAAATGTGAATTATTTTTCTCAAATGATAAGTATTATGTAGATTTTTTTAAATTTAAAACTTTTGTTTCCTTTGATACTATGGAACTTAAGCCCAATAATTCTCAATAATCAAAGGTTTTAAGTTTAAAAAAGTATTTTAAAATAAAAGAGGGAGGGTTGGTGAGTTTAAAGCCATTTTAGTTTAATTCTTTTATCTTAATTTTAACCATCAAGTTTAAAGTAGGTCACAGTTCATTTCTCAGTACTTTTGCAGGAAACATTCTGAGGATGAGATTATACTTTCTGACCCTACTGCTTTCTAATAAGGTATTTTACTTTGGGGTTGTGCACAGCCTGTATCCAGGCATCTCTTTGCTTTAAAATTCCTATGTTAGGGTTATATGTACAAAGGTTACCAAGTTTTGCATTTCTTTATATACATATTTATGGATATGAACTTTCCTTTCAGAGGGGTTCATAGAGATCAGAGCAGGAATAAATGAAATATAACCAGGAAAACAATTGAAAAGATCAAAGAAACTAAGAAGTTCTTTAAGAAAATAAACAAAATTGCCAACTCTTTAGCTAGACTAACAAAAAACAAACAAACAAAAAAACCCAGAAGATCAACTGATACTGCATATATAAGGAGATTCATAAGACAATCTATGAATACTTACATGGGGCTACATAACCTAGAAGTGGATACATTGCTAGAAACACACACCCTACCACGACCAAATCAGGAAGAAATAGAAAAATCTGAACAGACCGATAATGAATAAAGATACCGAATCTATAATCAAAAATCTCCCAACACAGATTTCCAGGACCAGGAATTTTTAGGACTGGAGAATTCTTCCAAACCTTTAAAGAAGAATTAATACCAATCTTTCTCAAATTCTTCCAAAACTGAGGGTAAGGAACTCTTCCAAACTCATTCTAGAAGGCCAACATTATTCTGCTACCACAACCATATAGGGCACCCAAAAAAATTATACTGGCAGACCAATATCCTGGATGTATATAGATGCAAAAGTTCTCAACAAAATACTAGCAAACCAAATTCAAGAACACATACAAAGGATTGTACACCAGCCACCAAGTAAGCTGCGATGTAAGCATGGCTCAACATATGAAAATCAATAAGTGTAATATATATTACTAAAATGAAAGAAAATATTACATGCTCATATCAGTAGGTACAGAAAATCATACAACAACATCCTTTCATGATAAAAAAAAAAAAAAAAAAAACCCACAGCTGACTAACATTACTCAGAACAAACTTTAGCAAAATAAAGGCCATGTATGAGAAACCTGCAGGTAACCGGAATGTGCACTGGGATAAGTCAGACACACAGACCAGTACTTCATGATATCACTTACATGTGAAATCTAAGAAAACTAAATGTGTTAAAACAATAAATGCTGGTTACCAGGAGATGGAGGCAATTGAGGTTAAGACAGCTATTGTTTAAAGACACAAACTTACAAACAGGTACTTTAGACTTCTGACCAAATTTGGTTGGTTTTATTCTGAATATATTATAATTTCCTGTGACTGCTAATGTGTCATTGTGATTTCATACTGTCTTTATGTATAATGTGAAATGTCATTATTGGTTTTGAGAGTCCACATAAAGCATACATGCTGTGAGGGTCCTAGAATTTAAGAGCATTTCAATTATTCGCAAAATGTCACAAGGTTTTAGGTTATATATTTTAAAAATCAAGTTAGCACTAGTTGGTTTGGCTCAGTGGATAGAGTGTCAGCCTGCAGACAGAAGGATCCCGGATTTGATTCCAGTCAAGGGCAAATGCCCGGGTTGCAAGCTGGATCCCTAATAGGGGATGTGCAGGAGGCAGCCAAACAATGATTCTCTCTCATCATTGATGTTTCTAACTCTCTTCCTCTCTGAAATTCATAAAAATGTATTTTTAAAAAAAAACTGAGGTAGATTTAAATACACAATGATCATTTTATTTATCAGTATAGAATGAGTTGTATTTACCTCTGTTTTGCATTTGTAATTTAAGTATTCTGCTACAGAAAACATTGTGTTCAGATCCCCAAAAGTTAATTTGTTTTATTTGCATCTATTGCTACTTTTTCCTTGACAATTACCACAGATGCTGCTATCACCATGGGGATGGTTCTTCTAAATGAAGCGGCAACATCCAAAGGAGATGTTGGAAAAAGACGAAGTAATTCTCTGTTTTTTTTTTGTAATTTTGTTTTAGACTTAAGATTCGTTTAAATCAAATGGGGAATATAAAAGACCTTTGTAAACATAAACTCCTAAAGAAATGTTCTGGTTGAAGAAGGTTGCAATGTTTTTTACTCTTCTATTAGATGTGTGAAAATAATTAATACTATATTCCAATGGGATTGGGTGACTTTCTGTGGAACTGCAGAGACAGGAGAAATTCTATCCACCCTCATCAGGGGTGCCCTGCCCAGCTCCATGAAGGCTCTAGTCCCTGGATTAACAGGCAGGGGGGGAGCCTGGGAGATGTATTGTCAAATGGTAGGTCCTCTATGCCATGGGAATCAGGTGTGCATTTCTGAGCCCTTTTTAAAACCCAGAATTTATGTATGAGGAGCACAGGTACCTGAGAAAGGCTAACAATCCATTAAGTTTAAAGATGAATAATTTATCCTATATATAATGAAAGCCTAATATGCAAATTGACCAAACAATGGAATGACCAGTGGAACAACTATTCATCCTGACATGCACTGACCATCAGGGGTCAGACACTCAACACAGGACCTGCCCCCAACCCGGAGGCCTGAGGCCAGCCAAGGTGGGTGCCAGCAGGGGACCCCTGATCACCCTGCCGGTTACCCCACAAATCAGCCCTGATTGATGGCCAGGCCTAGGGACCCTACCCATGCATGAATTTCGTGCATCGAGCCTCTCATTTAAAATAAAAGACTTATTTCCTTTATGGGATTGTAGGTAGGGTAATATGATTGTTAGTACATCGTAGTGATTTCTGAACACTTAGGTATCATAAGTGTTAAAATGTATTGGGTGAAATATACAGTTTACCATTTTCCATTATGTCCTTTATACACCATTTTGAAGAAATAAAGAAATAAAGGTTACTTTGTTTAGCTAAGCATTTTTCAGATATATCATTCCATGATATATCTGGATAAACAATGTGATGCTCTTAGGATTGATAACATTTATGAGGCAAATTCTTATGTGATGATATACTACTATATGTCCATCACACAATGTCTATGAAACCAATACTTCCAACTTTTTCTCTCTTGGTCGATATTTCTATAACTAGAGGCCCAGTGCATGAAATTTGTGCACAGGTAGGGTCCCTAGTGGCTACCACGGCTAGCTAGGGGCCTCCCTTCCCAGCTGCCTGCCACCGCTGCCGGCTGGAGTGGAGAGCAGCAGGGAAGGGCCGAAGGGCGGTTGGCAGCCCTACCCCCTGGTCGAACTCTCTCTCCGACTCCCTGTCTACGGAACAATTTGCTTATTAGGCTTTTATTATATAGGATTCTCCAATCCCCACTGCCAAATTGTGTGTGAGAGATTATATTTTTAAGTTATTTCTTTATTCTAGCAGGATTGATATAATACAACCACTGTCATTATTGACCAGGTCAGGATGCTTCTGTGTCATAGCATTTGCTTCTTACAAGTATGTCATCTGGAGTGGGCTACAGTGATTCAATTAGTAATTACCAGCCATTTAATTCCTCTCCCTTATTCCTGTACAAGTATTTGGTTGCGTTATTTTGTTCCACTACAGAAAATCAAATATTTTTTATGTGTTCACATATTTTGAGCCTCATTCCCACTGCGCATATTCAAATGAGGCTACTAAGAGTGTCAAAGGAGTGAAAAGTTTTATTCAGCTTCGGAAAAGCTTTTTAAAATAAAAAAGAAAAAGAAGTGTTTGGTAAAAGTACTAAATGTAGGAAGGTATAAAGTAAAACACCATGCAATTAAGTCTGGGTTTAGTAAGTCTTAATTGTAAGACATGTTGTAAGCTATGTTGTTAGCTATGTTTTTACATGCTCCATCTAGTGCCTGGTGTCTAGCATATTTGGATATTCTACAATATTTTTAAAAGAATTTTTCATTTTGTGATATAGAGCACCTTTTTTTCTTCCTTGGAAGTTCATCTATATGGTCTTGTTTGAAATGAAATGTCACAGAGACTACAATTGAATGCTATTAAGCGCTTAATTTGTATTCAAGAGAGAATGATATTCCTATAGAGTTGAATGAAAACTGACTAACAGATTTCTAGGCCATTATTTTGAGAATACCGTACCATATATACTCCCTTTTACTCTCTAAACTTTTATTCTTAGCTTTCTATACATTATAATTAATTATTTAAGTAACAGGCTTTTACTGATGCAATAATGTAAAATTATTTTTCATAAATACTTCATGGCCCTGAGAATAAAATTCTTTTTTTAAATATATTTTATTGATTTTACACAGAGAGGAATTGAGAGGGACAGAGAGTTAGAAAAGTCGATGAGAGAGAAACATAGACCAGCTGCCTTTTGCACACTAGGGATGTGCCCACAACCAAGGTACATGCCCTTGACCAGAATCGAACCTGGGACCTTTCAATCCGCAGGCCGATGCTCTATCCACTGAGCCAGACCGGTCCTGGCAATGAGAATAAAATTCTATTTAGCATTCCAATAATGCAGATGTCTCTGCTAATAGAGTTTATGCTTCATAATACAGGGAATAATTTCATTTGTGGTTTTTACTTCCTGGGGCATTTTAGTACATGTAGGAACTCTGTTAAGAGGAAAACTATCAGAATACTTTGATCAGTCACTTCGGTTGTTTTCATACCCAAAACATACCAGCTCATTGGGAGGAATGTGAAAGATAGTGAATCCATTGTATTTCGGACTGTGTGATTTGTTGTACCTGTGTGTGCCATGAGCTGTTGATGTAAGTACACCGTGATTGTTGAATGCAATTGTAAATGGAGACGCTTGGGTTGCATGTTCTAAACACTGATGGTGTCTTCTGTCTCTCTAGTCATCTGCCTGGTGGGCCTGGGCCTGGTGGTCTTCTTCTTCAGCTTTCTGCTCTCCATATTCCGTTCCAAGTACCACGGCTATCCTTACAGGTACACAATGTGATTGTGTTCATTCTTAACTGACAGGATAAACAAAATTTTAATGGTTCATTTATATTCTAGGAGTGATGTAAATAACTCATTTTCCCAGAAATTTTAAACTCAGTTAAGCAAGTGTGAACACTGCTATGTGTTCAGCATAGATTATACAAAGGAGATAGAAGACATGGTATTTTTGTAAAGCTGTTCATATATATTTTATGAGTATATTTTATAAAGATATTTTATAAAGTATATTTTATATACTTTAAGAGTATATTTTATAAAGATGTACATTTTATACATCTTTATAAAATATACTTTATAAATCTGGTAAAATATACCGGAGTATATTTTATAAAGATGTTCATATATATATTGTCATGATTGGAGATAGGCAGTTGTTGAAAATTCATTCTCAAATCACCGTGTGTGTGTGTGTGTGTGTGTGTGTGTGTGTGTGTGTGTGTGTGTGTGTGTGTGTGTGCGCGCTTATCCATATAACAAAATGGGTTTTAAGCTTTGTTGAATTCATCAAAATTTATTTTTCTTTTAGATTATCTATCATGCTCACTGCATTTTCAGTTTTTTTTTTCTCATATAATCTGTTAAGTTTTTTTTTTTTATTAAACTTTGCATCATCTTTTGAATTCTACAGAGTTTTAGCTTTTTCAAATAAGAAAAGCCAACTTGAAAGGGAAATTAAATGCTAAAATAATCTCTGGTCATGAATATCTCAATTTCCACCAATATATTGTCATGACTGGAGGTAGGCAGTTATTGAAAATTCATTCTCAAATCACCTCATTATAACCAAACTTTAGACTTTTACTAAAACCTAATACAATTGTGAGCAAGAAGATACTTGGTCATTTCATGAACCAGGCACAAATTTATTTCTTGAGCATGTTCCTTCTTCAGCTTCTCTTAAGAGAATAAATGTTTTTCTTTCTCTATGAGGTCCTACTAATAGCTTAATCCATTCTTCTCTTAATTAGGGAGCAAAGGGCCTATTATTTCCTTTTGCAGAGTTAAAATTGCTGAGTTAGGGCAACTAGTGATACATTGGTAAAGTTAAATCTCATCAGACCTTACATCTCTTCCCAATGCGCACTATGCAGTTATCTTAAGATGGTTTTGTGTTACATAGTATTAATTACTCAGTGGCACATATTATTAATTACTCAATGACGGCAACAGTACAAGGCTTTATCTGGTGGACAAAACTAATCCTGTAACGGGGAGATCTGCCTGTGGTGCTTTATTAGCGGAGGAGTAAGCCTCTTCAGCCCCACCTCTCTTCTCACTGGCAGAGGCTCCACTCCAGTGCTCTTTTTCCCACGCACATAAGATAAATGCACTCAGGGGGTGGAGAAGTGTAACCTGTCTGAGCTGTGGGATCATCTGCCTTAAATCCTGTCTGCAGGGTGCATGAGTTGTCAAGCACATGAGCTCCCAGGGCAACAAGAGTAATAAAAAGAGCAAGTAAAGTCTCCAGAACCATGACCCTCATTATTTGTAAACGAATTTTTCACTTCCCTCACAATTTTGGGTTCTGTTTAATCTGTCTTAGTTTCTTCTCTACAGAGAGTGATCTTTTTATGTCATTTTTATTGTCTCTTAAACCTCACAAAACCTTAAACATTTATACCTTTCACATTTTCTCAGTACTTCATACTGCTATTTTTTTGGCAGTGTCTGCTGAAGAGGATAAAGGTCCCTATGCCCACAAATCTTCCCGCATTTTTAGGCTTCAGTTTCCCCCACATCATTGTTTCATACCGTCACTCAGTTCTCCCAGGCTGTCTTTTCCTGACTTAAATCCTTGATCTGCCTGTTACTAGCTGTGTCCTTTGACAAGTTACTTAACTTAAACCTTGGTTTTCTCGTTTGTAAATGGAAAAATTTTACATATGTATTTTGCTTAGTGTAAGGACTGCATGAGAGAAAGCATGTAAAATCAATGGCACATTGCCATTACATAGTAATAATTACTCAGTGGCACATAGTATTAATTACTCAATAAATATTTAAAGCTAACGGTTATTATAATTCTGATGTAAATATTTATATTTAATTTATATTTAATATTTAATCTACATTTTTCTAACCAGGATTTTTCTTTACACTTAAGAGTAAGTAACTTGTTTGCATGATTGAGTTGAGTGAAGAACAGATTTTCCCTGAACCTTTTGATGAATTTAGTTGGACTCCTGAGTCTCTTGAAACTACCAGCAAAACATCAATATTAAGAATATGATCTAATTACCATCTGAGCCATAGTTCAAAAAAATTTTTCTATTGCAGTGGTAGCACTGAATTTATTTTGGGTATTAAATAAAGGTTAATTTAAGGGTTTGTTCTATTTACTAAGAAGAGCAAAATGCTAATAGCAATACATGATAATGTTCACTTATGGGTAATTACTTTCCCAATATTTTCCACAGACTTTCACTCATGCTGAAGTTTTCAAAATATTTCTGTAAAAATATTTATGACACATCAACTCTCAAGTAGGAAAGTAACAAGAAGCATCCTCATAATTGTATCACTTTGCTTCCTGTTTTTAAGACTCATGGAAAAATAGTATTTAGAATCAGAAGATCAGTTCAAGTTCAATATATAATTTTGTATATTAGTTAAGAGCTCTGGTACTGAAGTCACACAAATCTGAACTAAAATCCAAGAACTGTCTTTACTAACATTAGGACTTGGAGTTTTTTGTACCATTTCATCAGAATCTGATAATTTTATTATACTTTCTTTCAGGTTCAATATAATGAAATTATATATTTCATAAAAATCATCAATTGTTTACATTATGTAAGTGAATTGTAATATTTAGGGCATTGAAATTACCCACTTTATTTCAGTCCATTCCTTTATTTCCCCTGTATTGCCAGTCTGAGTGATTAACCATTGGTCTAGCCAATAATGAGAGTGGCCCACAGAAATAGCATGTTTTACCCAAACTTCACCACCAAGTTTAAGTTCTTATCAGCATCTTCATCCACCACTGACCTACATTTAGTCCCAGCCTGACCCCATTACAGGAACTAATCCAGCACAATTACCTCATATGACTATTAAAATGAGGTGAATTAATGTAATTGTGACATTTTTTGTTATATTTATATGTACTATTTATTTTAGAAGGGGTTAAACAGCTATTGTTTTCCTTACTTCCAATGACCATAATTTTTCTTTTTCAGCTTTTTAATTAAATGAAGCCAAGTGGGATTTCCAGAAAGTGAAAGTGTACCATGAAGATAAAGTGATCCTGACACTCTACTTTGAATTCTTCAGTACATTTCCTTGTTGATTGTGATAATGTAGCTTATTCTTGTGTAATTTTATAAATGTGAGATTTCCCAGTGAATTTAATTTATAGAAATGTGTGGTTAAATTCAATATTTTCACTGGAAAGAACAAAGGAAAAACTGTTGTGTTTTTCAAGCATATCATTATATTCAGTGTGTGTTCCAGGACTGAAATAAATGGCAATGTGTCAATTCATGCTTAAATGTTCACTTATTAGTAAGGAAAACCACAGCATTACTAAGGGGAAACTAAGAAGTGTGTGTTAATAAATTCCTAGGGCTGTACAGAGATAAGATATATGCATGAGACTATGTCATGTTCTGAAAAGTTATATTTATTGCAGTTTCAAGCTAAAGGATATGTATGGTTATATAGTGTTTTGTTCTAATTAGTCCTACCTAGAGTAAGGTGTGCAGGACAGGGAGCTCGGTGACTAGTACCTACAACTCGGATACCTAACCTGGGAAAGGCAGGTTCTTTCCATTTATAAACCTAAAGCAAACATGGCTAAATCAACATGCTCAAAGGCATTGGCAATGGAAACAGCACCCGAACTAAGAACTCGTTCCTCTCCAACTTCAGAGCTGTCATCTAGGAATCCAGACTTAGAATCACAGAACTATCCCTCCATTTCCCCCGTTTTGCCATCAAAACCTCATTCCCTGAATTAACCCCATATGAGTGAGTGAGTCGGTGAAGCTGTTTTGAAACCAAATATAGGAGTCCAACATTATGTTTGCATACCCTGTTTCTGATTGTTTATACAGCACCTTCTCATATGTTATGGTGTTTTTTCCTTCACAGCAATTCTGTAAATTAGACAGGAAATGTAAATTTTGTCTGACTTATAGAAATATTACAAGCTGAAAGCCAAAAAAGAAAAAAGAAAAAGAACTTGTAGCTAGACTTTTAAACCGCAAACCTGAATTTTTACTTCTGTGGTGCTACCCAAAGAAGAAATAAGAAACAGCCCAATAAACTTTTTATTTTTCCTCATTAGGCTTTGTTACCTAGTTTTTATTAAGGTCCAAATAATCGACCACAAACAACTTTGTTAGCTATATTCTCAAATAGGAGCCAATGTACATCCACAGAATTTACTTATTTTGTATGTATGAAATTCAATAAAGAATGGAAAATATAAAAGCATACAGGAGCATATTAAGTTCAATCCTGGGTCAATATCAGTGCTAGCGGTATGAAACCTCTTTTTCAAAACATGATGATATTCAGAACTATGCTAAACTCATCTCCAAATCTATTATTAAAAACCGTATTAATTCCCCTAGTTCCTGTTCAAAGATTGATACATTTAGTATTGGAATAGCATTTATGGAAGCGCAACAAGGGAACACACTCACTGGTTTAATGCCTGTTACTAGGTAGCACTTGACCTGTTAATCTCAATCCATTGAGCATTTTCACATCCTAAAGTTCATGCAGAAAAGACGTTACAGTTGGAGTTTGCCAAATGTTATGAACACTTATTTATTAAGTATAATTACTTGCATTTGTCCTTTTAAAGCTCTAAATTTTTTCAGTTAGTGTGCAATTGACTAAATGATATTAACACATATTTGTTCTCTCTGTAGAGCTTAATAATGTTTAATCAGAACACTATTAAGTTCTCAGATACTGTGATCCAGGTGAAAAGAACCTCCCTGTTCCATATTAGCAAATGTTTTCTAGCCTAAATTATATAATCTGTGAACATTCAATACCTGCCACTATAAAAACAGTGGGTTTTTGTTGGTTGGTTGGTTGGTTTTCAGAATTCTATCATTTAAAAAGCTATTAATTCTGTATAGGCAATAGTTACTTGAGGGGAGTGATTCTAGAGGGAAATAAATTGTCTTGAGACTAATCATTATTGTTAAATTCTAAGGGCAAAATTCCAAAAACAAATATTGGCTCAAATGTAGTTTGCTTTCAGAATGTAATGTGCAAAGTCACATCTATGATGTATGACATCATTACTTTGCCAAACAATTTAAATTGAAAAATTAATTTGTGTGTGGTATGTTATATTCTCTCAAGTCACTTTTCAACCAGATGCACTGTATTAAAGATTCCCTTAAAAATATATGTGTAACAATTGCCAGATAGGGTTAAAATATTTCTCTTCTACTACGTTTTAGAGAAAAACCCTAATATAAAATTCCATCAAAAAGTTTCATTTTATAATAACATAAACAACATGTTTCATTTTTCTCAGCACACTCTTCCTTGCATTAGGTATTCACATGAGTAAGCCCAATGCTGTTGTGTGTTTACTGTAATTTTCTTTTGCAAATAAAGTCATATTCCTTGTCAGCAAGTATGGTGATTTGGAGAGATTAAATTTTATAACTACAGAGATTGACAAGTATTCACTTTCTTACTATTATGAGAACCATCCTAAGGGTAAATGAAGGGAGTGGTTATTCTAAATAAGGCATGACATAGTACTATCTTGAGGTCAGTGACATTAAACAGTGATGTTTTAACATCATGATAGGGGCAAACACATTAGAGCATCTAGGGACAAAACATTTCAATGAACTCTTTGAGGTTTAATGTTCCTCAGAGTCCACAGAGCTCGTTAAGTTTTAATATGAAAACAAGATGCTTTTCATCTTTCAGCAAGAAGCTATATTGGGTCAGACCAATAATATAGCTAATAATATATTTTTCTAATAGTAGGAAAGGGTCAGCTAGTTATACTTAAAAAATGTTACACTTAAATGATGTCAATATGTGCATTATTAGCCCCTATATTCTCTTATTTAACTCATGAGCACCCTAACAAATTTTGCATATTTCTTTTGTTAATCTTAAATGCCTGAAATATATACAAATGTTTATATCATGTAACTATAGAGTCCTTATTTACAGCTAATAAAACATCACAACTTTAGACTATAATAGGAAAATGTCATTTTCACCTAAATGTTGGTGTATCCATTTACTTATATTAAAATTATACATATGGCCCTAGCCAGTTTTGTTCAGTGGGTAGAATGTCAGCCTGTGGACTGAAAGTCCCAGGTTCGATTCTGGTCAAGGGCACATGGCTGGGTTGCAGGCTCCATCCCCAGGGGGCGGTGGAGGCAAGAAGGAGGGGGGGGCAGGTGGCAGCCACTCTGATTCTCATCATTAATATTTTTATCTCTCCCTCTTTGAAATCAACAAAAGTATAAAAATAAAAAATTATGCACATGTGTCAATGAAAACAGTAGAGTGAGGAACTCTGAGGACCCATCCCCTCTATTTATTAATAAAACACTGAGGGGTGGGGAAGGGCAGAAGTAGCGAAAACTGCCAGAATCAATGTTGAAAGTCCAGAAAATAGTGCAAGGTGTATACAGCATTGTAGTGAATACTTTGGAAATAAAAAGATGACTGGAACCCAGTAGTATAGCTTAATGGCATTTTATCTTTTCTTTTCACCCCCTCCTCCCTGGTTAGTGGTGGACTTGAACAATGGCAGCCTGTATTAGTAGCCTGGGTGTCTAGTTCTACAGGGAACAGAATGGACTTCTTCCCATGGAATGGTATTTGCTGTGACCTCTTCAGCGATTCCCAGTAGTTCTGATGCAAGAGGCTTGCCTTTATTTCACCTAACTCAGGAGGATGGGAAAGTAGCTTGCAGAGAGAGTATTTGCCTAAAACATTAGGGTCATTGAACATGCCACTGCCTAGGGCAAAAGATAACAGAGGGAAAGCTGGGGAGTGAGATGCCCCAGGCAGTAAGGGCTTTAAAAAGCACCCACATAGTCTAAGACCTTGGTTTGGTCAGCAAACTGCGGCTTGCCAGCCACGTGAGGCTCTCTGGCACCTTGAGTTTGGCTCTTTCACAAAATACCATGGCCTGGGCGAGCCTATTTTGAAGAAGTGGCATTAGAAGAAGTTTAAAAAATTTGGCTCAAAAGAAATTTCAATCGTTGTGCTGTTGATATTTGGCTCTGTTGACTAATGAGTTTGCCGACCACTGGTCTAAGAGGACTCTAGAAGGACATGCCTATATCCAGGAGAGGATGCATGCTCAGAGAAGACCCTAAGCTTTTACCCCTTGCTGATCTATACCCCCAGTCCAGGCAGAAGCGAAGGCTAAAGCTGAGTTGTAAGTGTTGAAAGGGTGACCCACACAGAGCCAATCTGCAAAGACCAGTAGAATATTTTGTTTTCCTTTTTTCTTTTTGTTTCCAGGCTTTTCAGGACAGCTCTGTCAAACCATGAGCTGGTTTGGTGGCCGCTTAACTATGTGGAAACTTTATAGATCACACATGACTATAGTTTTTACAAGCAGTTTAGGAAACCTAACTCGCAACCAGCAATAAAAGCTAACTCTGGAGAGGGAGCAAATCCAATTTCCAGAGCTGCCACAATATTCAGAATGGCCAATTTGTCAAGAAAAGGGGCAACATCCAAAGAGGAATTCAAACAAGAAAGCACTGTCCATTCACAGGAAAGAAAGAAATGAACAGAAACTGTTCTTGAGGAAGCACAGACAGTGGACTTGCTAAATCAATATTGTAACTGTACTTAATGTACTCAAAGAGCTAAAGGAAACCATAGACAAAGAATGAAAGGAATCACATGGACAATGTCTTCTCCAAATAAAAAGTATTAATAAGTAACAGAGTCTTACAAATTCTGATGTTGGACAACACTATAGAAATGAAAACGTCACTAAAAGAATTCAAGAATAGAACAGGCAAAAGAAAGAACCAGTGAACTTGAAGCTAGGTTAATTGAAATGGTACAGTCCAGCCTGGCCCGTGTATCTCAGTTGCTACTAAACTTACCTACGGTAGATGCTAAAAGAAAAAGTTGTTAATGATGAAATGAAAGGAGAATAGATAAGAACTCAAAGCCATGTGAAAAAATAAAGGAAATTATGCCAACAAAATGGTGGAATAGGATCT